GGTGGGTTTTGCCTCAGCCCAGCCACCACTCTGGTGTCACCCCGCAACCCCACTCGCCACTTCCGAATCCAGACACTGGGCTTGGGGTTCCAAGGGAATGCTCCTGGCTGAGTAGGACTCCCCTAACTCCATTTTCTTTTCCTAAGAGACCAGCTGAGGGTGGGAAGAACACTAACAAACTCCAACTTTCCTCCCACCCTGGTGCTAAGTGTCCTTTGTAACCCCAAAGTTAAGGGTGGTCAGTTCCTTTCCAGCTCTGCCAGATAACCTGGCATTTTATGGAAAAAGGACCGTTTCAGCCTGACCACCTGGACAATTTTTTTTTTAACTTTCCTAGACCTTACTGGAATCTGAAATGCATCAGTGAATTTCTGAGCTGAGAGGCTCAAGGGAGTTCGTGGGGCTTTGGTTTTAGTTTTCTTCTCCCGGAGCTCAACTCTTCCAAGCTTTCCGACAGAGGAAGACTGAAGCTAATGGAGATATCAAACAGAGCCACAATTCCGAAGGCTCCTTGTGCTCCACAAGCACCCACGGTCCATCTGCAAGTGTAATCACAGACACTTGCAGTGTCTTCATCACCAGGGGCTCCGGAAAAGGGGGGGAAAATTCTGTGCCATTAAAAAGGTCCTTCTATTACCACTTATCATTTGTGTATAGCAACATAAGAATTTCTCCCTCCTATTCGAATTCCCCCACAATATTTAAACAGCATTTGTTGTCCGATTCATACAAACGCTTGAGGCCTTTCTGGAAAACCATTACCATTCAATGCCTAGAAAATTGCTCTCCTTCCTTTAAAAAGGGGGGGGGGAGGGACAGGCGCAGCAGCAGCAGCAGCAGCAGCAGCAGCAGCTACAACACACAACAAAAAACTTTCTCCCGCATAATCCTGGCTCATGAAATGACAAAGAAAAGATATTGACTTACCCCTGAACGGATGATGTGTTTGATAAGGGGGGGGGGCGCTTTTTTGAAGATTTCTGTTCGGGAGCTGCACAGACAGCTGCAATTCATGGGCGATGCTGATTGCCAGAAACGCTATAGATTGGCATGGGGTCTGCAGCTCACAGATCCTGATCAATACCCCTACACTCACACGCCAGATGGTTTGGGGAAGGACAAAAATAAAATAGTTCAAATCAACCCACCATTATGTTTTGTGTGTGAGTGTGTGTGTGTGTGTGTGTGTGTGTGTTTGTATTGCTCTGAGAAGCCTAGCTGTAGCACAAACATGTTCTCCTCGACACAAACCCGTCTTCAGCATTTTGAACATTTGGGTGGAAATGAGCAGCCCTCCTCTGCTTCCCTGGGGTTGGGTTTGTGGTGCCTGTTGTTTGGGGAAAACAAAGCTGTTGGGCCCCCGTATCCAGACTGGGTTTACTTGTGGTCTGTTTATTTTGTGTGTGTGTGAATAATTTATAGGGTCTCTCTTTTAATTGAGTGTCCACTGCTTTATTCCTCTCAGAGCCTAAAACAACCAATTTGATGTGAAAGCACATGAAAAGCTCTAACAGTAAAAATTTTCAGCCTTTTTCTGAAGTTGCTAACTCACATCCAGATTATTTCCCTTTACAGTATAATAGCTTACATTTGTCATAAAGCTACATTTTATTTAGAGGCTTCTTTTGACCCACTTAAGTGTCTGATCAAAAGAAAATCAGACACGTGGATGTGGGTTACCAAGAAATGTATATCCCCCTGATACAGTGGCTGGTGCAACTGTTTGTCCAGATCCTAATAGTCATGAACCAGCTCTCCTGCTACCACATTTCTACACAGTCTATTTGTGTGGATCAAATGCCAAGGGGAGGAGAGAACAAGAGTGCAACTTCAAATTAAAAGAAAGAATCCAGAGTCGCCAAACTTGTGAAGCTTAGCATATATGTTCTTAAAGAACGATAGAGGGAAAAAAACACCAAAGATATTTCAAAACCTATTTTAAAAGCTTATTAGCTCTGATGTTCTTAAAATGATCTTCAAGTAGAAAATGTTTTCTCTTTTCAGAAAGAAAGGGAGAAGGGTATGCAAACCTAATTCAGTAAAAATTGGGGTGCTGACTAAACATGCACATTCATTTTCCTTTCAAGTGGGTTTTTGGTTGAAATATAAAACCTCAAACCATCATTAGAGAAAACGCGGAAAAACCTGCTTTAATCTAGCCCAATGAAATTATACACAAAGAAGCCAATACTATTTCATGATTTCCCCGAGATCGCCAATATTGATCGAGGGAAGGGGGAGCGTCGGAGGCAGAGAGAGAAGAGGAAGGGAGGGGGAGGGAGGGAGCCACGCAGGAGAATATGCAACTCACCTTTCAACTCCCCAGCACGTGACTGCTCCCAGGCACACTGAAATGCAATTCCCTGAAGGTTTACCTTCTTAGCCTGGTAGATGAGTTTATCATTTTGAAAAATTATTTAAATGGCAATTTATATATTTAGTTTTCCGTACAGAGGCAGTGCCTACAGATGTCACAGGCTGGGGTCACTGGCCATTCTTTGAGGCTGAAGCCAGGGCAGAGGAGGTTTCACTCAGCACTAAGGCACACCAGACGGGCTTCTTCCCCAGCTTGCTCCTCCTCTACTCTGTGTCAGCCTCTCAGCACTCCTGGGCCAACAAGAGGGTGCACTCTTAGTAGCTTTTGTTCAATTTGGTGTGTATTTCAAACATTCACTGTGCAAATTATCCCAAGTGTCTGGACGCCATATATAAGGTGGGCAGTGGGAAGACAGGAGGAGGAGAGGGGAAGGAGGAGAGGAAAGGCAGAGAAAGAGGAAACTGAGTTATTTTACCTTTCTAATGTTGTGACACTAGAGAGGTGAACATACAGAAAAGTATGTCTAGCCATGTAGGGAAGCATCCACTTTCTTGTGTGAGCTTTGAAATCACAGAGAAGCAGTTATTTGAAAGAATAACTGGCAAGGTATTGTCCAGAGCTCAATAGTAGACCTATGAATAACCTCACTGTACATTTCATGTGACAGGATAGTTTACAGGGGGTGGGGGTGGGGGTCCCTGTAGCTGGAAGAGAGGAGGGCACCTGTAAAAGGTCAGGGAGACTAAGAACTATTTTCAAACCTTTCTCAAGTGCTTGGAAGGCACATACAGTATTCCAGGCAGTGTCCTTGTTTCTTATCAAGTTTTCTCTAACAGCTGGAAGTGGTTGAAGGGGGCTGTCTTAAGGAGACCTCCTGCTCTTCTTTTGACAGCTGATCAAAAGAAAATAGGTCACGCTTCTCAAACTTATGTCCACCCTGTCCTTAATTACTGTCTCTTTAAACAAAGGCAACATCTGCGCAACCTCAGCTAGCTTGAATCTTCGGAGGCAAACAGAGCGCAAGAAGAAATCTGTTACTTTTAATGCTTTCAATGTTGGGTGACTCGCTGTCTTCAACCACCTCTCCACTCCCAACCCGGGCCGCAGAAATCTCTACCTTCTCTGGACCCCGCTCCACTCCTAGTCCCCGACCCGGCGCAACTGAACAACGGAAATTCTAGGTAAAAGGAGGTGTACTTCTGAAAGCCGCGGCTTGCGAGCGTTCTAGAACTCTCCTGGGCTCTGGTCTTTCCAGAAACAAGGTTCGAATATACCGATGTCTGTCTGGGCTTCGTGGCATCTACCCACAGCCGTTACCCGGGGCGTTCCTCTCCCGGGATTCGAGGGAAGTGTGTGTGTCCGCGTTTGGGGAAAGATCCACGGGTGTCGTGCCAGACGATTTACTTACTCCCTGCCCCCAGGAGAAGTGTGCTCACTATAGGCATCAGCAGTGATCCTGCCGCAACACTCCCGCCACCCCCAACACCACCACTGCCCATTCTTTCCAAGCGTCTAGTGAGGCAAGTATTTGGTCACCTTAAAACCGCAGCTCCTGGAGTTCTAGTTTTGTTTTGCAGTCTAGCAGGGCCCTTCTGAACCCTCATAACTGGGAGATTTATTGCCTCGCTGGGTAATTAAATAATGTTATTGTGTTAACTTTGCATGCATTACCACGGCCCGGCCCGAGCCTGGGTTTGCGTCCCCGGCCGCAGCTCACAGGCAGCGAGGGCGCTGGAGTTCCTCTGGCCGGGGAGATTATGCACGCCCCAGTCTCGGGAATTTACCCTGCATTAGAATACATTAGTGCCTGCATTTTAAAAGGCTAGAGACTACTGGCTCCCAGCTAGGGATGCTTACTTAGGAAGTGGCTTGCTAGGAGACGTGTGTTTGTTTTTACACGAGCGGGTAGTGGAGACCTTTCCTCCCAGCTTTCAAGCCGCGAGAGAAGCTTCGGGGTGAGGCAAAGGGAATCAAAGCAATACCCTTTATCCCCAGATCGCAGCTGCTCAAAAGGGACACAGCGCGGCACCTTCGACACGATTTCGGTCCCCTGCTCGTACTCTCGCCTCTCTCCCTCCTTTACCCTTTCTCCCCCTCCCTCCCTCCCTCTCCTTGACGTTTGATTCCAGTGGCTTAGGAGGAAAAAAGACACAGAGCCGTCAGCCAAACGTGAAACGCGCAGCCCCACCCCCTCCCAAACCATTGGTAGATTCTCGCATAAGGCCCGCCCCCCGAGCCAGCTGTGGCTTCTGAGTGGCTGTGCGCAACGCTTATCCGGCACTGCCCCGCCCCAGGTCCGGGAGGGTAGGTTGGCTGCCCCGGCCAGCGGCAGAGCCCTTCTGGACAGCTCCCGCTCACCCAAACAGAAGACGTCGGCGCCGGAGCGGGCTGGGACATGGCTAGGCAGCGCGCCGGCCCGAGCGGTGGGGCTCGGTGATCCCTCCCTCCCTCCCCGCCCCCTCTCCTCTCCCGCACTCACGCCCTGTTCGCCCCCCACCCCCGCCCCCCGCCCCCCCACCCCCGGGCGCGCCCGCCCGCAGCCCGGGGCGCACACTGCACGCACGCTCCCCTCCACACACTCACGCACTCCGGCACCCTCCCCAGCTCCCGTGGCCGAGCTCCGCCACGCGCGCCTTGCTAGCCCGCCGGCCGCCCCCGCCGCCCCCGTGCCCCGATGGACTGAATGAAGGCTGCCTACACCGCCTATCGATGCCTCACCAAAGAACTAGAAGGCTGCGCCATGAACCCGGAGCTGACAATGGAAAGTCTGGGCACTTTACACGGGCCGGCCGGCGGCGGCAGCGGCGGGGGCGGCGGCGGGGGCGGCGGCGGGAGCGGTGGGGGCCCAGGCCATGAGCAGGAGCTTCTGGCCAGCCCCAGCCCCCACCACGCGGGCCGCGGCGCTGCCGGCTCACTGCGGGGCCCGCCACCGCCGCCAGCGGCTCACCAGGAGCTGGGCACGGCGGCGGCAGCAGCGGCGGCGGCGTCGCGTTCAGCCATGGTCACTAGCATGGCTTCAATCCTGGACGGCGGCGACTACCGGCCCGAGCTTTCCATCCCGCTCCACCATGCCATGAGCATGTCCTGCGACTCGTCCCCGCCGGGCATGGGCATGAGCAACACCTACACCACGTTGACGCCGCTCCAGCCTCTGCCACCCATTTCCACCGTGTCGGACAAGTTCCACCACCCGCATCCTCACCACCACCCACACCACCATCACCACCACCACCACCAGCGCCTGTCGGGCAACGTCAGCGGCAGCTTCACCCTCATGCGCGACGAGCGCGGGCTCCCGGCCATGAACAACCTCTACAGTCCCTACAAGGAGATGCCCGGCATGAGCCAGAGCCTGTCCCCTCTTGCCGCCACGCCGCTGGGCAACGGGCTGGGTGGCCTCCACAACGCGCAGCAGAGCCTGCCCAACTACGGGCCGCCGGGCCACGACAAAATGCTCAGCCCCAACTTCGACGCGCACCACACTGCCATGCTGACCCGCGGTGAGCAGCACCTGTCCCGGGGCTTGGGCACCCCGCCCGCGGCCATGATGTCGCACCTCAATGGCCTGCACCACCCGGGTCACGCTCAGTCCCACGGGCCAGTGCTGGCACCCAGCCGCGAGCGTCCACCCTCGTCCTCGTCGGGCTCCCAAGTGGCCACATCCGGCCAGCTGGAGGAGATCAACACCAAAGAGGTGGCCCAGCGCATCACCGCCGAGCTGAAGCGCTACAGCATTCCGCAGGCGATCTTCGCGCAGAGGGTGCTGTGCCGGTCTCAGGGGACTCTCTCCGACCTGCTCCGGAACCCCAAACCGTGGAGTAAACTCAAATCTGGCAGGGAGACCTTCCGCAGGATGTGGAAGTGGCTGCAGGAGCCGGAGTTCCAGCGCATGTCCGCCTTACGCCTGGCAGGTAAGTCCAGAGGGTCGCCCGGAGCCGGGCTGCTGGGGAGAGGGCTCCGGGATGCTGGGGCCCCGGGTCCACGCGCCTAGCACTTCTCTTGGTTCCCTCCTGCTCTTCCCTACACACTTGCTATTTCTTCTCGACTTTATTTCCTCTTCCGTTTCCTCTTACTCTCCTCCTCTTATGTTTTTTTTCCCCTTCCTACCTCGTTTGCGGGCTCTCCTCCAGCACCTGCCCCGCATACACACTTCATCAGCCCTCCCCTCAGTGTGCCGACTTTGCCCTCTCTCCGAGGCGGGATGGGGTGCCTGGTGTCCGCTAGGAGCCCTCTCTGTCCAGGACTCACAGAGAACACTATTGCCCTTATTCAAAACCCTGTGTGCACTTGAACTCTTGCTTAGACAATGTGTTTCAGTTTTCCAGGCTGCCTATTCTCCCTATATGGAGGCAGTTGAGGGGCTTTGCTCTTCAGAAGGGAAAAAAATCTCACTGTTTTCCTACTTAATATATCAGGCAAACTTCTTTGGTCATTGGCAGGAGTCACAGCCTTGCCCGCGCCGGGAACCGAGTGGCCAGACTCTTAACAGCGGTTCCTGCGCCCTTCTCTAGGCTTGGCACTGGCGCGGGGACTTTCTGACCCAAAGGGCCTGTTTAAATCAGCTCCTGTGTCGCTGTCCGCAGTGAGGGGAGGGTGCAAGGATGAAATTTGGGTCTGCCACATTCATTCACCTCTGGGAGGATGGGGAAAGAGAAACTAAGAATAGAGAGCGCTGCGCCTTGCTTGCCAGCCACCCTTGCCCGGCTCCGAGTGTTTGCTGGGATTCGCTGAGGTTTGGCTGGGCTCGAAAAGAGGTTAGGTGTTTGTGGGAAGGGGTGCTGAGAAATTAAGACGGAGGTTAGTTAACACATCTTGTCCGCGGGGCTCCAGGCTCCGCCTTTGCATTAAGCGGACGCTGATTGTGCGCTCAGCCGGGCGGGGAGGGCTGGCTGGCCGCGGGAGGGGACGATTTGACGCGCTGGTTACATTGTTCTGGAGCCGGCTTGGGTCTTTGTGCCTCCTCTAGCGGCGGAGCCGCGAGGTACACCCCTCTATTGTTCTAGGAGCACAGACACCTCCTGCGTGGGCGGCGGGAGCGGAGGAGAAAAACGCGGCAGTGGCTGTGACTGGCACGCAGTTGCACGCTTTTGTGCGCACAGACCCAGAGCGGTGCGCGTGGCAGTTGCGCTGCCACCCCAGATCCAGCCTCGAGTCCATAGGGGCTGAGTGTCCAGGCACCCCACTGGGGAGGACACATGGTACCACACTGCAAACAGGGTTGGGCAGCTTCTCTTGGACTGGGCGATCGCTGACGATCGGCGGGCCATCAAAGGGACAGACAAGTCGTGGTAGCAGTGATTTACATAGGTGAGGGCAGTGGGACCCGCGAGGATCTGAGCCAACTGCACACTACGCGCTTCCGGAGAGGAGAGCTGAAGGAAGAGCTCCGGCTTCCTCTCCAGCGTCCCTGGGCTTTCCTCGCACCGCTGAGCCTGGCTTCTGTGCATTCAACGCCCGACAGAGCTGGGGGATATGACAGGCGGCATTTTCACCCACGTTTGGGGGAGGGGGCGTTTCCGATCTGACCACCTCGGCCTTCCCCGACTGTTGGAGGAATCCTACCTCCAGTGCCCCCCGCCCCCCGCATTGTTGCTCTGAGACGGCCAAGAAAACCAGCTTTCCCGCAAAGAGCTTCAGTGCACTCCCAGTGCTTTTGCTTCGACTTAGAAATCTACTTTCTCTCTCCTTCAGCTTACTCTTCATTCCCTCCTACATTTTTCTCTGATTTGCTCTTGGTTCCTACCAAGGATTAAGCAATGAACAGAGAATAGCAGTGAGAAATAAATTGGAGGCTTACTCACAATTCCCAACAATGTGGTTCCCTTTTGTATTAGCCACCCCCCCCATCCCCACCGCCACCCCCAGTCTCTCTCTGGCGAGCTCCAGCACGTGCTGGCTTCCCGGACTTGGGCGGCCAGAAGGAACGTGGCAGCTGGTCTTTGGGGGGTACCGTTAGAGGCATGATGACAGCTATTCTACTCCAGCGCATCTCAGAGCGCTGCCGCCCCCTCACGCCTGTCTCGAAAAGGACAGAGAGGGGGAAAAACACGTGCCTCCCTGCCTCTGTATCTGAAACTAAAGTGGCAAGTAATGCTCTTGACCTGTTAGCGCTTCTCGGCGTTTACAATGACCCCAGAAAGCATTGCTGGTTCGAAGGATAGGTATGGCGTCTCCGGGGCTCACCAGTCCTACCACCCACCCTGGGGGAGTCCCCGGATGACTCCTGGAGTGTTTGGGGAAGAAGAATTGAAACCCCCTGTAGGGGAAACTGAAAGCCTCCTTCAGCGAGTGGGAAATTCCTGCCGAGGACCCCATTTTGCTTAAGCATTCAAATGTGTGTCTGTTTTATCACCCCGAGCTGAAAAGGGACAAGAGCTTTAGCCTTTTTATCTGGTCATTTCATCAGCAACTACAAGCGTGTTGAGTGCTTATTATTGCATAGAAGGCTTTTCAGTTTGGGGTCAGCAGATCAGTCTCTTCAGACACTGACACAGAGGCTGGGATTGGTAAATAGGTATTATGTGCTCTGGAGCGCTAAGGGGACGGGAGCAAATGGAGAAGAAAAGCGGAGGGCTTCTCCGCCTGCAGTATCGATCGGTATCCCGCCAGTACGTCGCTGTGGACCCGCACCTTTCCTCTTTCTGGCTGCGTGGCATAGGGGAGTTAAAAAAAAAAAGTCCAAGGAGCTCCCCAGGGCGGCTGGACCTGTCTTCCAGCCCCACACCTGGGGGAAGTGGCGCCCCTTCACCACCCCTCCAGACCAGGCCTGTTCTTTCTATGTATTTCCTAAATTTAGTTTCCTTTTCTCTTTCTCACTTTGGGTCCCTCTGGGTCTTGCCAGAGGCCCAAGCAGGTGAGGGTTCGAGAGACTTCCGAATTAAGGTGTCTGATGTGGGCCATTGCGCTGCAAACCTCACCCTTAGGTGAAGCACACAACGTCACAACAGGAACAGGTCTTTCCTTTTCCTCCTGCCCCCCGCCTCCGTGAATCCCCAATCCAAGGCGGCATTTCGAAGGGGAAAGGAGATGCGGGGAATCCCAGATCAGCCCAGCGTTAGACTTCGGAGACACAGACTCCAAGTGCGCCGTTTCACTTGGGAAGGGGGGTGAGGCAGCAAGCGTTTGAAACTGCGCCCAGTCGGGCTTCTTCAGAAGTGTTTCAAGGCTGGTTCCTGCGGGCAGTTTTTATCAACTGGGCTAGAGGCTGCGAGGACAACCCCCCCCCTCCCCCGGCCCCGCGCGTTCGAGAACCAACCGTCTCCAGCTTGGAGCCTAAGAAAAGCCCCCGAACCGAGCACAAACACGAACAAAGAGGAGGAGAACCCAGACAAGAACCTGGACGGGCGTCCCGCGGAGGCAAATCAAGGCCTCAGCGGCGAGAGTGAATCCTCCAACGCCGGGAAGACAAGAGCAGAGCCCTCGACAACAAATCCTGTGACCCTGGCGCCTGGGGTGGTCCGCTGGGAGCCTGGCCCTGGTCTCCGCCACGGACAGACACGGACGCACGGCCCTCTCCAGGCAGCTACTCGCTGCGGGCGGCCGATCTGGAGCTAGCACTGTTCAGACAGCGGAGGGCCTTTAACCCACGTAGACGCCGCCGCGGCCCCCTGAGGCCCGCCACGAAGCAAGGAAGGGCAGTGCCTAGCGGCTCCTGCTAGGGCCACCAGTGGCAGCGCGTCTCCTTCCCAGCGGGGACACCTTAGGCCACGCTGGCGGGGTTGGGCGGGGCGGGACTCCATTCGCAGACCCCCACCCCAACCCGCAATCCCCCCCCCCACCCCCCGCCCCAGAGCACCCTGCCCCGCTCATCCCCTCTCTCGCTGCAGTTCAGTTTGGGATCCTGGCCCGAGAGGCCGCAGGCAACCCTCGTCAATACAGAACACGCGATATTCCAGCCCGCTGGCTGGTCAGATTAATAATTTAGAAGCTCTCGCTACTGTCCTTGCTTGGTCAAGCCCCGAGCGCCTCGAGGACACCTCCCGAACGCGCTGTGGAGGGGGAGCCGGCGGAGGCGGCGGGACGCAGGGGAGCAGAGTGCGGCCGTGTGCCCGCGAGCAGACCAGGCCGCCCGGCGCCCTCGACACGAGCAGCAGCGCATTTATTTTTATTTCAGACTTTCTACCGTGTGGTTATGTCACTTTCTCAAACAAATGTGTATATGGAGGGAGATCGATGCTGATAATGTTTGGAAGATTAAAAGAGCATTAATGCTGGCAACAATAACGTGAACGTGTGGACCCAGATTTCATTGATCTGGAACCTGATCCGGCGCGTTTCCAGTAAGCCCGACGGCGGCGCGCTCTTCCCAGCAGAGCGTTCACCAACGCCCGGGCTCCCCAACTGCCAGGTGCTCCCCGCCGCGCCGCCTCCCCAGCTCCAGGCGGGCTCTCTGGCCTGGCCGCGACTCCTCCCTCGAGCAACCCCGGCCTGCCCCTTCCTACCCGAGGCTTTCTCTTGGTCGCTGGGCTGCCTGCCCACTTCCCCAGCCCCGCAGGCACACACGGCTTTCCGAGCTCCCCGCCTCGGGCTGTGCGAGTGGTTGGGTGGAGAAGGCGCTGCGCAGCCCTCACCCGTGCCCTCCTAGTCCTCCACGAGCCGTGTCCACCCGGGCCCAGCTCTGGTGGAGCAGGGCCCGGAGCAACTTCCTCCCTCCCTCGACACCGTCTAGGAAGGTCGGTCCCCCTCTCGATATGCGGGAACAATCCAGCCCTACCTTGCAAATGGTGTCTCTAAAGCTGTTAACCGCGCAGCTTTGGGATCCCGGATCCGTGCATCCCCTTCCCGTCCGTGCCTCTTCTCATTTAAAGAGCCGGTTCGCAGACTTTCTACACGGATGCATTAGTTGGACAACTAAATGCGGCCCCGGTGACAAAGGCCTGGGCTTCGTTCCTCAGAATCGTCTGCTCTGCAG